GGGGTTGCACTGATGTGGAAAAGCATCCTTAGAGACTAGGATAAGAGCATCAGATTTATTTCACTTGTTGCTTATTCAGCTTTCTGTTATTGAGAAGCTTGGCCTTAACTTATTAGATGCAGCAGATGCTGTTCAAACAAAATAAAACCCTACTCAAATAGAAGTCCCAGGTGATGCACTTGCCTGCCAGAGGCTGGGCAGCCAAAAGTCTGGCATCCCTCCACTGCTTCTCTTTTAGGGCTCAGAGCATGTTGTGCAGAGCTGGGATTCATCTGTGTGTCTAATACATGGAAAGAGAAATGAGCAAGTTGTGTTGGGGAAGGCAAAGCAGAAAGGTGTGTTCTAGTTCTCCAAAGGTATCTTTCCCCATGCTCAGTATTATGTGGTTAGATAAGGAAAAGATGATTCTTCGGACAGGAACCTGCCAAGGCTGTAGGAGTCCTGGTTTTAATTCTTTTAATCCTCTACTTTGATTCGTGTTTCTTCTCTGTCCCTGGGCAAGTCACTCAGTCCCTCAGCTTCTACTTTTTTTTTGGATGGAAATGGACAAGCTGGACATTTCTGTGCATCACAAGGAACTGAATTTAAAGTTGAAGATGTTCAAAGAAGCCTTGTCTAAATATAATGCTTTATGGATAAAAATAATAATAATAATTTTAAAGATCCACCATATTAAGTGAATTTGAATCAAAATATATTTTTTTTGCATTTAATTTCTGTGAAACGAATTGATTAGTGTTGGCAGTAGATAGGGAGATTTTTCAGATAGGCTCCTCCTGAAGGCATAAAGCTGGCACAAATTTTTAAGAGGATGATTAATGGGGAGCATCTGAATTCAAATCATTCCTGTCAAATCTGTCTCTGGTGAGTCTTTCCAGCATGGATGAAATTCATGAGGCACTCGTGTGAGCACCACTTTGTGCTAGAGCATGCTGAACTAGAGATAACCTGGAAAGCTTTTGAAGGTGCTGTCACACAATGACTTCTGTATTGCCTAGCTTCTTGCCAAGAAAGAGCTCCATAATTAACACACTCTTTTCTGAATGCTGGCAGTGAGAACTTGCCCTGAATTATGTTGCCTTGACTCTCTACACCAAGAAATATCTGTGTTTTTGTCTGAGGAACATAATAGTAGGTCTGGAGAGATTTTTAGGGAGTGAATTCAGCAGAGCTTCTTTAAAACAGTAAGGACATTCTAAGTACTGGAAATCTTTACAGCTTCTTTCAGCTTTTCTTAGATAACTTTATTGTTCAGTGCTGATGGGCCTTGAAAAGATTGGATGTGATGTGCTGCAGAAATTAATATCTGTGAATCCCAAACCCAATGAGATGTTTTTTCTTGTCACCAGGTAGCAACACAGATGATATTCCCCAATATCTCTTCTAGCACAACACTTTGCTTTAGCTGTCGTGTTTCTGTGCTCAGATTCCCTGAAAGCTTTAGAGTCCTGTGTCTGCAGGAAGAACTTGAGCACCGTGTGTCTATTGAGCTCTTCAGTTCCAGGAAGCACTGTGCTTAGTGTAAACAGACTGGCTGTTGATTCAAGCCTGTGCAACACATCCATCTGCTTCCTGGAAGCATCAGACCTCCTGTGCTGCACATGTATAGAAACTCTGCAGCTTCTGAGAAGGTTCAGTATGAGAATGCTGCTCTGTGTCTGTGGAAATATCTGAGACTTCAAGATACTCAACTGCCTGGTCAGAAGTTAGCATTTGTTTCTCCTAGTTATTTACTTTGAACACAAGAATACATGCAGAGTTCCTCTTGCCCACCCTGAAGAATGTGCCTTGAAGGCAGAAGATGCCATTTCTGAGGGAAATCTGATTTTACAGCAGCCTTTTTAATATTAGCAGAAGCTGTTTTTCTTATGACACTGGCGAAAAGGAAGAAGAATTTAAGCCCTAGATGTGGTTTTGCATTTAAGGCCATTGGGAGAAGGATCTGATCACCTGTAATGATTTTATTCTACATCTTAACAGATACAAAGTGGATGCTTATTCCTTACAGGCAAATACAGTTAAAAGGATGTGATGTCTCCTAATATATTCCACTGATTTATCTTGTCCCATGACCCTTGGTAGTCCTTTTGTGCCACAAATGTACAAGACTGGATGTAGTCTTAGGTGTATTTTATTTGGGAGACTTTTAATAAAGCACGTTACTTGTTGCTACTCTAGTTGGAAGATGTGTACAACTGATGACTACACATTTTCCTTTGGGAGAAATTTGAACCTTTGAAGCTGTAGGGAGTGAGAAAATTAAAACAGTAAGTAAAAGTCTTAGCTTGGAAATTTTAGTGTAACAGCAACATTGTCTCACACCAGTAAAATAATCTGGTTCTTTCAAAAACTTTCTGTATGTGCCATGACTCTTAGAAAATTCTCAGTCCTAAAGAATGCCCACTGTTGTCTTGGCTTTGTGTGACTGTGGTTACTCTATTTGAATTTCTTTTCCAGATGTCATGAATATGGATGTTTTGTGTTTGCCTTCTTAATCTTTGTGCAGTTGAAATGAAAAAAAGAATTTGTAATACTTCAAAAGTAATGATGTTATTTCATTTGTGACATTGTCTCTTTTGGCACTTAACCTGATATTGAAAAATAAAATCATAGAATCATAGAATCCTTTAGGTTGGAAGAGACCTTTAAGATCATCAAGTCCAACCATCAAGCCAGCATTACTAAGTCCTCTGCTAAAACAGAATCAGAATCAGTCAGGGTTGGAAGGGACCACAAGGATGACCCAAAAAAAAACCCCACAAAAACAAACAAACAAACAAAAAAAACCACACCAAAACACCAACAGAACAAAAATATGCACTGAATATTTATACTACTACTACCACCACTCCTGTTCAAGCCTATGAGCTTTGCTCTCCAGCTTGTTTTTTGTTTGTTTGTTTATTACCTTTTCCAATCAGATAAAAACTATCTTTCCTCCTCCTGGAATTTTGATGTTGACCATTTCCAAAATTCCCAATTTCCCTCTTTGCTAGAAGTTAATCTGCCTGTCTTCAACTCATGATCACAGAAAACACTGCAAGAAGAAAGGAAAGATTTTTGCAAGAGTTAGTAGAGACTTCCATAGCGTGTTGTGCCTCATTTAACAGCCATGAAGACTGGAGATGCCAGAATAGCATTTCACACATCTCCAGTAAATCCCCTACTCCAGAAGATCTTCCACTGAGAGGCAGACAATCAGTATTTCCAGAGTGCTGCTAACTTGTTAAAGCTGTTTAGCAAACGTTGAAGTAGTGTGTACATTACAAGTGATAGGTGTATTTTATTTTAATACAGTAATCAAAAGTTCAGTGTGCTTGGCAATAGGCAAGATTTTTCCTCTTAAAGTAGCATGAAGGGCAAAATCTATTCATTGAGGAAAGCTGGTGAAAGATTTTGCTCATTTAGTGTGCAAATCCAAGCTGGGTTTGTCCATTTATTGATTTATTTTACAAAGTGACTAATTTTGGGGGGTATTGGTATGCTACACACAAGTGCTTTTCTAAATCCTACTGCACACCTTTGGTTTTAGGTGTAACTTAAGGCTGGACATCAGCTTGAATCTTTTACTTAAAGTGGAACCACTGCTCAGAAAATGAACTAGCAGATTGAAGTCTAGTTATCCATTTTCTGCTCCATTTCATGCACCAACTTAGGTGTTATTTGAAGGTCATTGTTTTGTACAAGAGGAAGCTGGATGAACTGTGTGCTGATCTTGTGGCTGATTAATTTGCTCTTTTTCTGCCTCTGCCCCTTCTTTTGCCTTCACTAGAAGCCTGACTCTCTTTTAAGGACCACATAAAGACTACTTTGTCCATTTAAACACAGTGAAGTCACCATGAGTGTTCATAGGTAGTTTACTAATATTATTTGTTGATTTTAAAAGAAAAGCCCCAATTGCCCCTATTCTTTCTAGTCCCAAGAGCTCTCCTTACCTTCGTTTCACTCCCAGCTAAGAATCCATGTTCAACAATGGCTGCTCTGGAGAACTGCTGGTTGGGCACTATCAGTTTTTATACACAAAAATAGAATTTAATCATCCTGGACTGACTTTACAGCACAAAGATACCTCTAAGCCACAACTCTCCTGCAAGTCGCTGCCTATTGAAACCAGGAAAGTGTTAGATAAAAATCAAATTACTGCTGCACTTTCAGACTAACAAATATGAGAGGAGAGTCAGGGCATTACCTTCTCAATAGCTGTGTACACATTACCATGGGGAATGCCCACACAGTGTAAAAGCTACAGAGCTTTAACTCCTCTCAGAACATAGGAAGCAGAATTATAGTTCTCCTACTCTTCTTTAGCTGAATACAGACAAGGCACAACTGAGGTATGAATTAAGATTTTTCTTTTTTGGATTAAAGGGAATTTTGCTGTAAATCAGATAACAGGCCACTCCAAAGATCAGGCTGGAGAAGATTGATCTGGGTCAATACAGTAGCTGTGTACTGGATCTGTGATCAGTTGGACTCTGCTGCACAGAGACAGAATTGTCTCTTTGTTCCTACCTGTTGCTTATAAAAACAACAATAACTGCAGGCTTCTGTCATTCCTCTATTGGAAAAAATGGAAATTTTGTTGGTTGAAATTCTTGGACTTTTCCTTCTAGAGGATTTTTTTTATTCCCCATCCTAATAACAGCAGAAATAATCAGTATTCTGTAGCTGAAGAGGTAAGATTGTTGAACACTGGATGCATATATTTTAGATACACCATTTATCCCAAACTCTGCATATAAAAAGAAGGGAGAGTAGTAAATCCACACCTCATGGAATCCCAAAGGTTTTTTTTGTTTGTCTGTGCTAGGTTTTTTATAATTATCTGTTGAATCTCAATTTGCATGTCACTTTTTCAAGGGAGTGTTGACATGACTTTGCCAAGTGGGATTTCCATTGCTAGTAGTCTTACAAGCTTTATTACATTCAACACAGTATGCAGTCATTCAATTCATTCAAGCTATGAAAAAGTAACTTAGATACCCTTTGTCTTTTTCAAGGAGTAACTGGGTGACCTCTTACAGAGTATTGGTGAGCAATGACAGTCATGCATGGACTGCTGTCAGAAATGAGTCTGGAGATGTGGTGAGTATCATGAAACACGTTTTCTGAGGAGCAGAGGTGGGAAAGTGGGGGCTGTCCACATGGAGCTTTGATTTATGACATTCATCAGTGTAAGATGACAAGGCAACATCTGTGATCCCACTAATTTGAAGAGAAAATCACATAATGCAGAGACACAGGATATACTATATGGCAGACAGATCTGTGTCTGCCTATGGATGAGAGTACAACCTTGGCAGTGGTCTTGGCTGTAGTAAGACATGTTTCTTGAATCATGCCCCATGCAAGGGTTAGCATCAGTCTGCTGGTCCCTGGCACCTCATGCCCATGAAGCACTTTTTGTTAGAGAGATATTGTGGACCTCTGGCTCCTTTGCCCCTCCCTTAGTGGTGTGTGAGGATTGTCCTGTATCAAGAGCAGTTCTGTACCACCCATCAACCAGGAGCTGTACCAGCTGACTGTTTCTATTAACAACAGTGCCAAGAGACTTCTTGAAGAACTGCGTGTGAGGGTTGTCCTGTATCAAGAGCAGTTCTGTGCCACCCATCAACCAGGGGCTGTACCTGCTGACTGTTTCTATTAACAGCAGTGCCAAGAGACTTCTTGAAGAACTGATCTTGCCATTTCTGTGTGTTTGGCCTACACAGATTTTTGAAGGAAACAGTGAGAAAGAGATCCCAGTCCTCAATATGTTGCCAGTGCCACTGGTTGCACGTTACATCCGGATAAACCCCCGCTCCTGGTTTGAAGAAGGCAGCATCTGTATGAGACTGGAAATCTTAGGGTGTCCTTTGCCAGGTAAGAGTCTTTCTCAGTTGATGTTCACCTGGCTGCCTGTGCCAGAAGTTTTATTTCCTTAAGGTATCTCTGCTTTTGATATATCTGCCTTTAGAGAAGGGAGTTTTGCAAAAAGAAACAAAAATATCTGTCCAGAAACATGGACAGTATCAGAATAACTCTTCAAATGCAACAGCAGAGTATCTATAGGTGGCTTTATTAAGAAAACAACATTGCATGGGTGACCTAAGAAGATTTTCTCTGTTGCTTGGGATGAAGTGCTGTGCAATTAATCTTACTGGATGCATGTGTACTGGGGAGGCAGTAGAATTACACATTGGAACAGTCCCTTGCAGAAGTCTTAAGCTTCTAAGGCAAGAAAGAACCATTATAATCATGCAGTCTGAATTTTAATTAGTTTTTCCCTGGAATTAATTTGAAGGCAAATACTGTGACTGAACTAGTGCTTATCTTGTAGGAGGAAGGAGGGGAGTTGGGGATGTAAAGGATTTCTAGCAAATTCCAAGTGTTATTGAAACCAGCATCATCCCTGCTAAGTCTCAGTTGAAGGTAAATGGTCCTGTCCTCACTAAGGACCATGGAAAAGGCACAACCAGATATTTAGCATAAGCTTCATGTGTCAGCTCTTTCTCTTATAAATGCAAAATACATTTAGGGCTTTGCTAAACAGTGTCTACAAAGTGGGACCTTATACAAGGCCACTTAAAAAAAAAGAATATTCAATACTGAAAATTCTGGCCAAGCCATGCTTCTTTTAAGCACATTGTAAATATTCTTCTGGTGGATTTGTCTACATGTATATAGATAAATATTTGGAAAACTGCTTGTTCAAACCTTTTCTAAGTCTCCCACTGCTCATTCCACATCTCTCATCTGCCTTTTGGGTTTTTTTGCCTCTTAAATCCTGGCTCCTGGGGGATAGCTCACTGGTTTTTTTTGCAGGATTAGTACTTTCAGAAATACTAGAGCCAGAAAGAGAACTGCCTTTCCAGAGCCTATCATCACTGCTTTAACAGTTCTGCTGCTGTTTAGAGACATGCTGCCTCCAGTTCCACTGTTGATGTAGGGTCTTCACATGCCAAGTAGTAGACAGAATTCTGTCATTTAGATGTTTAAATACTCATGGGGGAAAAAACAAAACACAACAGTCTGGGTTATGGAAGGGATAAGTTTCTGATGAAGAGAAGTATGGGACAAGTTTTGCCATAAAGCTTTGTCTGCAGGTAACAGGTAGCTCCTGGAATTGCATGGCAGTGGTCCTGTGTATGTCAACATTCATATTTTCAGTAGGATTCTGATCTATTTCAACCATGGGTTTAGAAAACTCCAGCTCTGTGGGTCACTTGCTTCCCATTGTAGCTTCTACCCTAGAGAGGCAATTCCAGAGTCTGTATTTCCCCTCAGCTCTTGAAAGAACTGGTGGGATCTCAGAAAGCCCTGATCTATCCCAGATTCCTGTGTTGGTTTACAGAGGATCTATTCTCTGCAGCACAGGGTGTGAGACTGAAGGAAGAATGAAGTTTTCTTCAGCACCATAACTCTATAGGCATGCAGGGAAGTCTCCAGGGAATAACAGAGATCACACTCAAACCATTTTGGAATCTCATGATCCCTTTCTATTCCATAAAACTGTACTTAAAGAGGAAAGAGCAAAACTACTGGTGTTTGGAAAGGTGGATTTTATGAAGGGCAGCTGTTATTTGCACAATTTTTATTGGATATACACCCGTACGGGGCTAAATTCTGCTTTTCAGTGTTGCAGTTTGTCACCCTTTGTGTTTGTGGGGCTGTGTCAGTGGGTGAAGGTGCTCTCGAGGTGAGAACATACCAGCTTTTCCACCACTGTTGCTGCTGTTAAAACTTGTCACAGGTCTTGGATTAGCATGGCAACACCATCAGTGCTTTCTCCTGGTCGTCATTTATTGAGTTAATTGCCTGCAGTGGCTGCTTCAGTTTATTCCTGAAAGAAAATACCAGAATCATTCAGAGAGAAACACAATGGGGATGGGGTGTGTTTATTCAAAATGTAATTGGACTGAAAGTACTAATAGGTTTTGATAAGCTAAAACTTTTTGCCTCAGAAAGAACTGACATTTCTTTCTTCTAGCTCATTTTATTTGTCGCATGCAAGGCTCTCAATACAAAGCTGTTCCTCAGGTTGCAGAGGCCTTTAGGACATAATTTATTTGTTGCAGTTCCCTATAACTGGACTTCTTCACCCTTAATTGGTGTCATTTCACTCATTCCAAGTTAGATAACTGGCTGGTTTGGCCACAGGTCCAGCCTCTTCACTAGCCCTGCCAAACACTGTATTGACCATGCAACTTGAAATCAATGGTTCTTTGCTGACAGTGGCTTCCTTCAGAATAAAACTGAGCAAGTCTCCTGAATTCATCAAAGTCAGGAGGTGGGGCTCTGTCAGTTCACACAGCTCCATCTTTCCCAAAGCCTCGTGGAAGAATTCATGCAAGGCTTGATTTCCTTGAATGCCTCTTGTAGTTTTGATTATATTTGCACCCTGATTGTGAACGTACAAGAAACCAAGTTGTCAGGAGGGGCAGTTTGGTTGTGTTTTAGAGCTACTAAGCACCATGTCCTCCTCAGGCAATGACAATGCATAAGCAGATGGGGCATAGGGAACTACTTTGAGAACAAAAGTGGGGCTAAAGGAAAGCAAGTCATTTTTTCATAGCTGTGAATTTCTTTTCATGTCTTTTAAACCTGTAACGTCAGGTTTTATCTCTTTATTAATCCCTGAATAAATTAAGTGATTTGCATTCAGCCTGTGTTCTGCTTCAGGTAGGCTTATGAGGGAGGGTATGAAAGGAATACCAGATAAAGAGGAAACCTGGATAATATATTCTAGATATTATACATTCTAGGAAAGCCTGTTAGTATAGAATCATAGAATGGCTTAGGTT